TATAATGGCCCTTAACGATCAAAACTTTGAAATTGCAATCTTGGCCAATTTGGCCTTTATTGGCATGTCAAAGTGTCAAGACCAATTCTATCATCCATTAAACAGTTACCACATCTAACCCAAGAAATATGTAGCCCATTCGGTTGCTGGAACTATCATAACAATCTTTAACAGTCATAATTATGAAATCATATTTTTGGCTAAACTGGACTTTCCTTGTGTATCTAGGTCTTGAGATTAATTCCACCATTTGTTAAATATGTTACARCATCCACCTAGAAAAGATGATTCCTAATTGACTGTTGGAGCCACCATTACATCCACTAGCTTGACCATTCTTAATGTGTCTATGTGTTGAGACCAATTTTGTAATCTATTAGTTGGGTTTCCACATCAACCCCCATAATGTGATGCCCATTTGGCCCCTAGAACTACTATATCGGTCGAAATTGTGAAATTGCAATTTTGGCCAATTTGGTCTTTCTTGGCATGCCAAAGTGTCAGTACCAGTTTTGTTGTCTTTTAAATGGATTTCCATAAAAACACCTTGTAGACAATATCTAAGTTATACTTATGTGTAAAAGTTTACTAATTGTTTTCAAAAGACATAATATAATCAGTGTTGTGAACACCGACTATTGAGCTCTTGATAATGCTTTTGTATGGAACTGGTCTTACGTAAATCAGTCACATGTTAGTAGCCAGTTATATGAATACTACCTACTAAATTCTTGTTAATGCTTTCTTATGGAACTTGTATTATGAAAATCAATTATCATTTAGTAGCTTGTATTACGAAAACTAGCTATATGTTATGAACCATATTTTTTTTTAATTGAAACAATTGAAAGTCCCTTTTAAAATGCTGAATGCAAGTAAATTTGAGAAACCATCAGCAACAAACACAACAAGAATATCAGGATTGAATGAGAATTAGATTTTTACATTCCAAAATAGCTTATTTTTCTAATAATCACAAATAAAATTTAAAATAAAAACAAAATTTGTCTACTACAAATTAAACATAGAAATAATTCAAAGTATAAAGTTCTAAAATGTACCAAAAAACTCCTCACAATGCAGAAAAACGAAATGTCCATGAGTGAAAACTCGTCTATTAGGCTTAGTTTGGAAGGAATACAAATACAAATATGTAAGGCTACATTTGGAAACGATGCAAATGGAGTATAGATCCTGATTCAAGGTAAATTTGCACTTTGTTTTACTTTTGCTTGTGTTTGGCAACATTACATTTACGCATTGACAAATGACAGACCAATGCATATTTACATTGACAATAAGATGTAAAAGTACATCAATAAAAAAGAAGTAAATTTGCATTCAAGTGGGCTTTTGATAAAAAAAAAAAGCATATGCTTTATTGGAATTCATGTTTGCATCCATTACAACTACAAGTCTATTTGATAAAAAGCTAAATTTGTCAGTGCAAAACTAACCCAATTTTGTAATTTATATGAACTGTTTTACACTCTACATATTTGCATTCACACTTATTTGCAATGTTTCCAAACGTAACCTAAATTGCAAATCTTTGTATTTTGTATTATTTGTATTATACATATTTGCATTTGTACTCCTTCCAAACTAAGACTTAGAAATAATTGATTCACTGCCTTCATGGCCTAGTAAAAGAAACCAAGTACTTTGCTGCTTATATTCTTTCTCCTAACCTCTTCATGATCCATGATGCCACTTGGTCAGCACAATGTACCCCAACTGTATCCAAAACACCAAAGTCAAAATGAGGACTAATAACACCACACTAACATTCCACATGGTTCAACCATAATTTTTCGAGCCCTATGGTCACAAACATACTCGAGCTCGAACTCACCAATGTATCCATGCTTTTGCATGATAAGGAGGAACTTTATGATCACTTTGAGGATGTTGTGATCACTTCTTTGCATTGTACATGCTTTTAATGTAGGACCGAGTAGATGTAGAGATAGACGGCTGAGATCTTGGCGTGCCAAACCTGCATACAGGAGAAAAAGATTAGTGCACAATATAAGATCCAAGACACTAGCCCATGGAAGCAAAGTGCAACTTGGAACTGCTTAATCTGAATTGGGCTAACTGGGAGGCTCTATGCTCTTCCCTCACTTAGCTGCCTTTTTCGTGTGCTTTAGAAACAAGCTAAGTGCCGTTTTATAACAACGTCCTATTGTGTGCAATAAATGCTAATAGGAACATTGATTTATAACCGTTTGGTTGACTGAGTCAAGCCCCTCCGAATTGAGACAAGTGTCTCATACTGACCAAGGATCTAGCCACATGGTCATCTAGTGTAGACTGGGTCAAATGGATATCCATTGACCCAATACTGACCAGTGTCTCATACTAACATGTATCACATTTGCCGTTTGGGCTGCGTTTGGTTGCAGCACAAATAAATTTGCACTGATGCAAAACACTAGCAGTGCAAAGTGTAAATTCTGACCTAATTTTGTTTCAAATTTTAGCTTATTTTGTTTGATTTCAGTGCAAATGAAGTAAATTAAGACATGAAGAGAATAAAATAAAATCCAAAACAAAATTAAGCAAAAATTTGCATTTTTTTAATTTGACACTCCCATGCATTTGTACTATTGCAAATAAATTTGCATTGCAACCAAACACAGCCTTAGGGGGGGGGGGGTTGAGTGGTATTTTGTTTTTATAACTGAGTTTTAACGATTGGGTTTTAATCCTAAGGTGGTTTTATTTTTGCAAAGGGGACCCTCAGTCATTTCCATTCTATATTATATGTAACATGTGAAATGTTGAAATACTTAGGCTAGTTTGGAAGGTACAAATGAAAATATGTAGAGTGAAAAATCTTATATTTTACATTATTTTGTAAATATTTGCAGAGTACATATTTGTATTTGTACTCTTTCCAAACTCAGCCTTAATAATAATGGAGGATTTAGTCAATTATAAGAAAGTTTAGTATATTTTAAGTCAATTTTTAAATAAGGGTAAAATTAGTCAAATTTCTTAAACTACCCTTATGGTTTAGCTAATTGACTAAGTATAACCCTACTTATGGTTTCCTTATCCCGTCGCTTCTATTCCGAGGATACGCAACCGCCGCCACCACTACAACTCGAATGAAGAACGGAGGTGTTGTTCTCGGAACAAAGAACGGAGAATGGAGCTACCGCTGTTCTCCGAATCGTTGCTGTTCCGAGGAAACACAACCGCTGCTGACTAAAGATGCAATTTAACTATACCATTTATCACTGACAATCTCAAAACCAAATAGAAAATGACTAAAGATTCCTTATACCGCCACTACTGTTTTTCCTTTCTCCCTCCTTCTTCTTCTTCTTCCTCTTTTTCTTTTTCTTTTTCTTTTTCTTTTTCTTTTTCTTTTTCTTTTTCTTTCTCCCCTGTTCTGCCACTGCCATTGCAACTCGAACCAATGGCGGTAACAACTTCTTTTCTCCCTCCTTCTTCCTCTTCTTTTTCTTTACTTTTTCTTTCTCCCCTATTCTGCCACCACCRCTGCAACTCGAACCAGCGGCGGTACCAACTTCCTAGCAAGAACGGTGGATGACAACCAGATCTTAGATCTGAGTATTTCTCAAATCTCATACCTGGGTTCCTTTTGGGATCTAGACTTGCTAAAGGAATAGAGGAGATGTGTGAGTTGCTAAGAATAGGCTTACGGTGCACGGTGGAGGCGCCAGATTTTCCCCATGCCAGAACCAACGGAGAAACAACTTCCTCCATAGAGAAATGGTGAGCGGTTTACTTGTGGGTTCAGATGTGACCTCATAGTCGCTGGCATCAGTCAAGTAGACATGTTCATGGGCCGGGCCGAGCCGGGTTCGAGCCAGGCTTTCACTTGTCACTAATGAAAATATACTAGGCCCGAGCCCGAGCCCGGACCGACCAACAGGCCTATAACTTGGGCCCGAGCCCGACCCTGTTAAAAAGCCCGAAACTCGAGCCCGAGCCCGAAGCCCGACCTAATTGAAAAAAAAAACAATTTTCCCTATTCAAATTAGAATTAAAAATTCAGATAGTATTTTTTTTTCTATTTAAATAAACAATGGGCCTACAAGATGGTATTTTTCCCTTTTCTTTTATATTTTAAAACACAATTTTACATTCTTAAATAAAAAAAATTATTCAAATGGACATAATCACATAACTAATTTTAAGTTTAATATTAGGCCGGGCTGGGTTGGGCTATTTTGACAAAACCCGAACCCGGCTCGAATTTATTACGAACCGGACTTTTTGACCCGAATTTAAGCCCGCGGGCCAATAAACATGTTCAAACCCGTCCGAGAATCAGGCCACCCGGCCCATAAATAGGTCTACAGTCGAGGCACCAAGATTGGGCTTGACTGAGTTGGGTACATTGGTTCCCTCTCTTCCTCCGCCTGGAACCTCCCCTTATTAGAAATCCCCGTGGGTTTCGTTGTTGTAGATCATTGTTCTCCCCTGCATCCAAAACCTATAGTCTTGTGTCAAGAGGCATTGTAATCAACATTGAGAGGCTTTCCATGGATGCGTTCACCCCTGAACTGCCACCACTGTCTTCGTCTCCAATCGGAAGATGCCACCATCACTGTTCTTCCACACCATGCTGTATACTGACATGCCAATGAAGTATGTGCAGATGGTGGTGAGACAAGCGACAGTGACTGCAATGGGCTAGGGCCATTTTGGCGTGGTGAGACAAGCAGCGCCAAAGGGGCTGGAGGTGGAGGGGCCAGTCATTCTTGCTAGTGCTACTAAAACGATAAGGGTAAAATTGGATTAAAAAATATTTGTTACATGTGAATGAATTTTGAGGGAATATTAATGGATGTTAATGATAAGGGCAGAGTTAGTCAATTGTACCATTAGATTAGAGAGTAATTAAATACTTAATCAATTAGCTTATAGTTTAAGAAATTTACCCTTTTCTTAAAGTAGGAATACTGATTTGCCCTTTTATCAATAGTTCCATTCGTCCGTTTGAAGTTCGTCTTATCGGGAAGAAGATTCTTCCCGGTTTGCATTATCGTTACGACTTGCGAATTAAACCCCCCCGTATTCATTAGCTGGAGATTTTTTTTTGAAGTGGCGTCTTTTCTTTGAAATAAGAAGAAGTGTACTACACATAACACAGTACACACAACGGGTGGAAGCGCTTCTAAGAACGTGGTTTTGGCGATTTGTTACGGTTATCACTGAATACCTATCCGGCAGTGATGGGCAGCGCTTCTAAGTTTATCATGCTGCTTAGCACTCCATTTCCCTTCCTCTGTTCCCGCCCTTCAACTCTCCGCCTCGCTCGCTACGCGAGGGTTTCTATTGCTTGCTTCTCTTCCTCAGGTCACCATAGCAGGTTGTCTTCGAACTCTCGCCCTCGGTTGGCGTCTCCAATCAAGGTTTCTGAACAAATTCACACGCAGACCAGTAGTATCAGAGACGATTATGCTGACGAATCAGTAGGGTTCTCGAGTTATAGGGTTTCTCATCCTTGGCTGGAGTGGTCGAAGCTGGTGGAGAATCTCAAGGACAGGGGCTACTTTGATTGTCAGAGTTCTTCACTTGAAAACAGCAATAAAGATGAGTTTTCGGTGTTTGAAGACCTGCCGGAGGAGTTCGTACGAGCTGCCAGTGCATGTCTCTCTTTTGCTCGTGACAAGCCGGATATTTTAGGGTTCTCTCTTTCTCTCTCTCTCTCTCTCCCTCCCTCTCTCTCCCTCTCTAAGCCTGGATATTTTGGTCTCGTAACTGCAGGTCGCTTTCTAGGAAGGATATGGAGGTTATTGTTGAAAATGGATCACCGTTTCTATTCAAAAACTCACTGGAGTCGGCAAGGCGGATGAGGTCATTCCTAGGCAGGAGCGGAAGCGATGTAAGACAATTGATTAATACATTCTCATGAAGCTGTTATAAGTGATTTTCCCCCTCAATGTTTACCACACACTATAAGCTTGTAACTTTGGTTGCTGAACGTTACTGGGCATTACAGTTTCTTTTTCAACTGGCAGAAAATGAAGTATCTTTGTTTATCAACGGCATCAAAAGCATTTAGATTTCTTGAAGAAACTTTTACATTTTTTTTTTTTTGATGAAAATACTATTGCTACATTTGACATTCCTTATTTTAAGAACTTATCTCCCTTTGCTGTTAAAATGCCCCTATGAACATTGAGTTTTTAATTGCGAAAAGGAGATAAGTCTTTAAATTAAGGAATGCCAAATGCAGGCTATTACCTCTTATTTAGATTGACTAATGCATATTTGAATTGCATAACACGTGATTATTGCAAAAACTTGTTGAGTTATGGTTCCATGTATAATAGCTATTATTTCTTGCTTCTCTGCTTATAGGGTCCCAAAAAACTAGAACCATTTCATGCTTGAATTTGGCTAAACTGTGTAATGCAGTTTTTCCTTGAGATATGTGGCATTAATACCCTCTGGTAAGGATGGCAACATGTTGGTGATGGTTGGTATCTATCACTGAACCCTACTGAAGATAACTCCATTCCAAATCTTTTGCACCCTGTGAAGAGACAACGTGGGGTAGGGCAGGAGATGGGGAGAGAAAAAAATGGAATGGGAGAAAGAGGGGTAAGATGGAAGAGCTTATTTTTCCAGATGGGGGGGGGGCAGAGACTTGCTTCATGTGGAGGTGATTCTGTCTCTTTTGGGACAGTGATTAGGTCATATTATTGAAAAGAGCCCTTATCCAAAATGCAATTTGTTATCATTGGAGATGGTTTAATTGTTTTAGGAAAGGTGGAAAGAAAAGATCATGATGCCAAGTCTGTATAAAGTCGCTAATAAAAAATCTGTGTACAATCAGCATGATATAAATTAAAATAGAAATAACTTTACTTAAATCCTGAATCCCACTTAATATTTATAAAATCAGCATAATTTGATCCAATTATGGCTTAACGGATATCCGGAACTTAAGTGAATTGGAATTTGGACTAGAATCAGATTAAATATGATCTGCTTGTGGTCCTACACTACACCTTTTTTTTTGGCTCTTTAGTCAAGTTCAAAAGATTTAGAGATTAAAACCACTTTGACCTCTAAAATCTCTATTATTTTCTTGTTCGTATGATATATCCTGGGGAGAATATCTCAACAGATTCAGGTTATTAAAACCTGATCTCTGTCTGTGATGTGACAATCCCTTAAAAAACCCAATCCTTTCTAGACATAGATTATCCAAGGTCTGGGTGGGACAAGTACAATTTAAGGTTTAAACCTCCTAATAACTATTCTTACACTTTTATTGGAGGGAAATTGCTTGATTGAAGCTCTCTCCTTTGCACTATGAGCCACTCCTGATACAATCTCATATGGTTTATTACATGTTTTTTGAAGAAAGATAATAATTTCGTTAAACAAAAGAGGGCTATACCTGAAAAATATGTACAAAATCAAAGGCCTTGAATGCAAAAACGAGCTATTGATCAAAAAAAAAAAAAGCAAAAACGAGCAAAGCCAACATTAAGCATTTGGCTATGTATTTGCACTGTACAAAATATTCCCTTCTTGACCCAGATCTAGCTAAACTGTCTGCAACCTTATTCAGTTCTTTGGATCCATCTAAAGCTCCAGACTCCAGTTGATAGAAGAAACTAACTCATGGATTTCTAGCAGAAGGTGGGAGAGCTTCCTAGGTCCAGAAACTTGGGCAATGGCCCAACTAATGGCAACTCTTGAGTCCCCTTCCACTGCTAAGGAAGTAGTCTGCTGCTTTCTGGCAATTCTAAGACATTCCAGTAGAGGACGGATCTCAGCATCTGTTGCATCCAAGGCTGAGGTGGGGCAACCAAAAGCCCACAGTAAGTCACCATTAGATCTATGTAGGAGGCCACCAATTCCAGCTTTTGCTGGGGGGGGGGGTTGACATCCTGAGGCCTTCTGAAGCTTCCATCAAATTTCAGGATAAACTCATATTTCTACCTAGAGAGGGATGGTAGGCTGGCTACTAGCAGGAGAAATGTATAATAACTCTACCTAATTTCTCTGCAAGTCACCAGCTTTTTTCCCCAGCAAAAGGCTGCTGTTTACCATCCAAGAGTTGAGCAAAGTATGAATATGGCCATTGAGTGACTCCAAGGAGGATGAGTTGTTTTAAAAATTCTCTTGTTTCATTCTTCCCGTATGTTCCACATAACAACATGGACAATTGCCTTCTAACAACATCTGTTTCTGCTACCTAATTGATTTTATCCCATGTCAATGATTTATGAGATCCCCAATAGAGAGTTTTTTTTTTTTTTTTTTTCCTGAAAAGGTAAAGTAAAGTATTATATTGACTATCAACAGTGTAAAGTTCTGTAGAAGAGGCTGTACAAAAACTGCATTAAAGCCCCCCAAAAGAATTCACCCTCAAAAAAGAACCGGAACAAAACACATCTTTGAAAACATCAGAAATATACAGCCAACTCCTCAGTTCTTCCACTACAAAATTAATTACCCCAGCCTCAGACTTGGCTTTCTGCTAAAAAATCCTGTTGTTCCTTTCTAACCAGATCACCCACATGACTGCAGTGGGAATAAGATACCACACTTACTTCCCTTCTTTGGACATTCCTTGGACTCGCTACCCATATAACAAGGAGGAAACTGATTCTGGCAAGCACCAACTCAGATTTACAGCTCTAAGAAAATGCTGCCACACCACTGAAGAGAAGCTGCAGTGAATGAAGAGATGATTTGCCAATTCGGGTACCAAATTACAAAGAGGACAAGTCACATCTAACAGACTGAAACCCTTCCTTATCAGTATTTCCTTGGTGAGGCACTTCTCTTTTGCAACCACCCACAAGAAGAATTTGACTTTCAAGGGAGCTGAAACTTTCCAAATGGCTTTGGAAGGGAAAGGCTGACTATTGCTTCTTAGCAGCCCTAGATGGAAAGATTTGACGGTAAAGCACCCAGAATTTGTCCACGACCAGCATCTAGCATCCTCGGAATGCAGGTCTGGATGTTGAGCTTGAAGCAAGGAAAACAGTTCTACCACCTGATCCAACTCCCAACCATTAAAATTTCTTCTAAAAGCAGGAGCCTAGACTAGAGTATCACCCTCCTGTGCAAAGCAATCTGCAACAGAACTCAGGGTGTCTTCAGCAGCAGCAAACACAACAGTAAACCTCTTTTAATTTGAAGTCACCACACCGAGGGTCCATCCAGAATTTCAGTCTTCTACCATTTCCAACTTTGTAGGAAATACCTTTGATGAAATGAGAGTAAGCTTTGTAAATGCCTTTCTAGATGCTACACCCATAGGATTGCTGTGACCCGCCTGCATCCCATCCATTATCATTGAAACCATATTTTTCAGCAATTAAAACTCTCCATGATTCATGAGGTTGATTTAAGAATCTCTAGAACCAGCTTCCCAAAAGCGCTAAATTGAACTGTTTCACCTTCTTAATCCCAAGCCCACCTTGAGAGTTAGGTTTGCAAATCTCATCCCAATTTACCAAGTGGTACTATCCTTCCACCCTAGCCACAGGAAATCCCTCATCTTTTTTTTTTTTTTTTCTCTTCAATTTTCAAAGCCACCTCAGGAGGCAATAAAAAAAGAGACATGAATTTAGCCGGCAGGCTGGCTAAAACACTCTTTACAAAAACCAGCTTAGCCCCTTTGGAAATATATCTAGCTTTCCAAGAAGCTAGTTTCCTGTCAACTCTCTCTAGAATAGGGTTCCTGATACTACCTGAGTTACTCTTTGCCCCTAAGGGAAGGCCATGATATGAGGAAGGAAAACTGCTTGTTTTGCACCCTAACACATCAGCTATATCTTGAAGGTTCAGAATGTTCCCAACTGGCAGCATCTCACTCTTAGAGAAGTTGACTTTAAAACCTGAAACCACTTCAAACCAGCACAGTAGAAAACGGAGATTAAGAACCTGGTCCGAAGAAGCCTCACAAAAAATAAGAGTATCATTGGCATACTGCAACAAAGAGATTCTTGAACCACCAGGACAGACCTTGAAATGAACAATCTGACCTAGTTATGAAGCTCTCTCTGTCAACTTGCTCAACCCTTCCATGACTAACAAAAACAACAAAGGTGACAGTGGGTCACCTTATTATAAGCCTTCTCGAACTTCTAAACTTGCCTTTATCTGCCCCATTAACAAGGATTGAGAAGCAAGGGGTGGTAACACAAACTTTCATCCAATTCCTCCACTTCTGACCAAAATATAGTCTGTTAGTATTGCCAATAGAATTTGGAGGTATCCAGCTATAGTTTCCTCCATAAATCGTATCAAGATAGTATTGCCATACACTTCTAGCAACCTGATAGTTAACAAGGAGATGTCCGATGGATTCCCCATCCTAGCACAAGATATGGATGTTGGGGGAAATATATTCTCTGTCACACTTCTTCTGAAGGATATAGCAAGTGTCGAGTTTTCCACAAGCTGCCTCCCAAATGAAAAAGGAAATCTTAGGCAAGGTTTAAAATGTCGATGTCGATGGAAATGTCGAGGGGAAATATTGTAAAAATTAGAGACATTGTGGAAATATTATGAAATATGTGGAAATATGCAAAGATATTTTGTAAAATGATAAAAGAAGCA